CAATATCATCATCAAATTCCAAAATATCTCTTGATCTCCCTATAGGGTCTGTTAACTGTATTCTATGCACACACGTGCTCAAAATGCTAACGACTAATAACATAACCTCTTCAAGATGCTAGCACCAGGGTCACTGGTAACAGGGTACAGGCAGGACTGTAAGTTTATAAACATAAACCATCAGTCAATCTCAGCATATCAAATCAAAAGGGAAGGCATGAGAATTTAATAATAGGAGAAATCAGTCACTTCTGATTCTAAGACTTGCAGTCCTGACAGCGGCCTCACAGTCCAGGGCAGAGCTAGGAAGCACAATGTTGGTTAATCAAATACTGCAATCTTACTCTGAAATTTTTCATTTCTGAGATATGAGTTTATGCCATACTGCTCTTTGCTTCCCTATAAACAACTAACAATTTATCTTATTGTTAGCCGTTGGTCTAAAATTAATGATGGCTTCACATCTGAAAATACACCAACTCCCCTTAGTCATACTGCATTTTCAGCTAAAACTTAATATGAATATATCTGGTTTTCTTCAATGCCTTTAGTTCTTTCCAGAGAATCAGCTGAACTTCAAAGACCAGGTATTTCCCATTCAATTCAGGAATTCTGTGATGGAAAAAGAACATTCAGTTTCCCAGCTTCAACACAGCATTCCCAGAATATGGCACTCAAAGTACTGCCTGAGTAAATTATTACCAAAAGTTTTACCTATTCAGCTGTTCATGAATAAGAATCACTACTAGGAGTATACCAAGTAGCAATTTCCTCTAAAACAAAACAAAACAAAACAAAACAAAACAAAACAAAACAAGTAGCAATTTAGTATCAGAATGAAAAGGTCTTGATACAGAGGAATAGAACAGTAAAACATAATTTAACTATTGTCATTCACAATATAGTAAAGAAAAAAATCAGAAGTTACGCACTTCAAAAAAGGGGGGAGTGATGGGGTCAGAGATAAAAGTATCAGCATGCTAAATTTTTTTTTTTTTAACTTAGAAAATACCTGTACAAGAACAAGGGACATTTCACATTTAACACACTGTCAATATGCATTGAGTTCACCTCAGGATAAATGAAACTGCAAGAAAATGGCCCAAATGAACTAGAAGATTTCCGGCAGCTCACAGACTGTACTCACAATTAATACGCAACATTTACCTCTATGAAGTCTTACAGAGTTCATCTGATTTATATGGAACCCCTCTGTGAAAAAATAGGATGATTTGGATATTATTATCAATGCATAAAAGGGATGTCAATCAGATGGTAAATTCAATTATTCTTGAATTTTTAAAGAGTTTCATGCTTTGCTCAAATGTAGCTTACTTTTAGGAAATTTCTCTTCTTCAGCTCTCCAAGTTAGTAAATAAGATTAGGTAATATTTACATTTAATTTACTGTCTTTTCATTTAAAGACATTTCTCTTAGTCTTGCTATAGTATGTTAATTTAAATAATTGCCCTTAAACTTCACTATACCCAAATTGGGAAAGTAAAATAAACTTTGAAAAGGAATCTGCCATTTTCACTAATACATTTGTTAACCTGAAATCTTTTCAAAATACATATTGAAAATATGCTGACAGTGATCCTCAGGCATTTCGTTTGGGCTACATTCTAATAAAGTATTTAGTGGTGAGAACAGAAATAACTGTGTATCACTTAAAAGAAACAGAAGATTTGCACAAAGAAACCAAAACCCATATAGCATGCAAGAGTTAACAATATGGCCTTTTAAATGCTGTTCAGCTACCACAAAAAAATCAGTTATAGAATTCATTACTTATATTTCAATCACAAACACTTCTCTTAAAACACGATCTATATCAGATTTATAACCAGATCTGAAAAACATAGATTAAGACTAGGTTTAGCTAATTTCTCTGGCAAAAAGCCCAAAGACAGGATAATTTTACTATCTCTTATACATTCCGGCAATAACAATAACAAAATTCAAAAAGCCAGATCAAAGTAAAACGAGTCAAAATTGGCAATAAACCCATTATGAAGAGTGGCACTAAAGTGAAATTTCAGAACATATTGCTTTCTATTTACGCAAGTGCGATCTCATTTTAAAACGTGTATTTACAAAGATTCTGGAAGGCTATCAATCACCAACTTGATAGCTAGGTTTTCAATCTTTATTTTGTCTCCATAATATTCAGTTGTCAGTAGTTTCAAGCAACATATTTAAATATCTAATGTGATTTTTGTATCCTACTTACACTATTCAGTGTCCACATACAGATACACAAATATTGTAAGTGACACTATGTAGAATATTATAATATTTTCCAGAGTAGCAATTTTGACTTTGAATAATAACCAGAGCATCTGGGCATAAAAACATTTTCAATTCCTAAATTCTTCTTTCTGGGGAGTCATTGATGGAGACTGAACCTAAAGTAAAAAATGCTAACCTCTATCAATTTTAACACAAAAGGGCTGCTATAAACAGATTTTAAGTAAGTACTGTTCTAGACAAATATAATAATCAAGGAGCACTTGAACTAACAAACACTGAACTTTCTTCTGCTGTAGCTGCTGCAGCACAGAACCGTAGGTCAGAGGCTGAGCGAGAGAGGCTGATATGGAACAGGACACAGAAGGAAAAGAACTAAAGTCTGTAAAATTAAAAAGTCAATGAGTAAATCACATATCAGAAAATCAACTTCCAGAAGAATATTAATGCGTCACTACCACAGCTAGAGTTAAGCTGTGCCTTTAAGAACGGAAGACAACAAAACAATTCTTACCATAACAATATACCAGTAGTAGGAAAAAAATGAATCATTCACAAAATACTCTAAGAGGTCTTTCCTGGGGTGAGCGGGTACATGTGTTATGTGTGGAAGCTTACAAAATTAAAAATGTGAAACAAAATGGATTCATACTAAGATTTCATGGTAACAGAAGAAAATTGAAGGAAAGATTTTCCGTGAGGAAAGAGTATTTCCCATAACTGGTTTAAAAAGCACCTATTAAACCGTGCTGTCAGCCGTCACAATGGAGGTTTGGGACGCTTTTGTCAATTGCAGCATAACAAAAGGCATTTCACAGCATAACTTTAGGGAAAATGTTATCTGGTCTGGAATCACACAGAAAGCAATGAAAAACTCTTTCAATTGTTTCTAAAACACCAATTTTTCTGGGTAGCAGCAGTTGCTCCTGTACGTGCCCTTTCAAAAAATATGAAACAGAAGCAGAATAGGGAAAAATTTTGAGAGTAAGAGTAGCAGCATTAAATAGAAAAGCAAATACTTAAATACGTTAAAGAAAGCGTAAAATAAGGAAACAGTAGGGGCGCCTGGGTGGCGCAGTCGGTTAAGCGTCCGACTTCAGCCAGGTCACGATCTCGCGGTCCGTGAGTTCGAGCCCCGCGTCGGGCTCTGGGCTGATGGCTCAGAGCCTGGAGCCTGCTTCCGATTCTGTGTCTCCCTCTCTCTCTGCCCCTCCCCCATTCATGCTGTGTCTCTCTCTGTCCCAAAAATAAATAAACGTTGAAAAAAAAAAACTAAAAAAAAAAAAAAAAAAAAAAAATAAGGAAACAGTACTTGTGCAACTTTCAATTATACCAAGTAAAGTGCACTGCTTAAATGTTCACTGATAACATTTTCCCTGTATGTTGAAAATATGAAATCTACTTATTGGTATCTTTTTAGATTAAAAAAAAAAAAAAAGACATTCACTATTGTAGCCTGATAGCTCTCTTCCAGTATTTTGTAACCATTCAGATGTATTTTGTGGGAATATTTATTCACATAATTTTGCTTAATACATTTCTTTCTACACAAGACTGAATTTAAAAGTCTATTATCTATAACATTTTCAATTACAGTAATAACACATTAATAAATTATAAATTAACAAAATCTTCATATTTGCTTTAAAAAATCATTTATCAAACACTAACTTCCAGATTATCTGGAAAATTAAAGATGCAAATTGCTATAAATCCGGCATCCCAATTAAATTCTGATTTTTAAAAGTATATAAAATGTCCCTCAAGTTATTCCAAGTTTCCACTCAAGAAAATTTTACCCTTTTCATAAGTTACTAAGTTTACAACCTGCTAAACATTCTACCCAAATGTGGGAAAACTGTCTGGAGATGCAAAGCACAATGAAATAATTACATGAAAAGAACAAACAAAAATACCCGTTAAAACAAAGTTATTATAGCTGGCAGCACTTAAAATTGGTAATTTGTATTTTTTAAAAAGTTGCATAGCTGCTGCAAGATGATTCATTACTGATTAACTACTGAGCAGTTTTAGTTTTACTTAAGAGGAAATAACACGTGTAATAAATTGCAATTCAATAGACAATCTTAGCCTCAGTTCATTAAAATGTAATCATGTAACTTGATTTACTCTTTGGACTGCATTCTGATAATGTTAAACCTTGAATTTAAAATACTAACATATTTTAGCTCTCCTATGCAGAAGTCTATTTTCTACTCATAGGAGAAAAAATAGAAGAACTTGAGATCATGGTCTACATTCAGAAAATGTTTTACTGCTTGATTTCATTTCTTGGTTTCACATTTAAGACTTTAATTTATAGGAAGTACATTATGTGGTCTTCAGTTTAAGAACAGACGAATACAGAAACATCATGTAGGGGAAAATAAAGTGACCCCAAACAAGAAAAAAACAAGTCGAACACAACTAGTTGCGCAGCTCTAGAGAACTTAATAAAATCAACTTTTAAATCAGTTAACTTTGGCGTCTGAATACAAAATGTTTATCAGTATTACCTATGTAGATGACTAGTAAGGGAGGTGCAGCATTTTCAAAATCCCTGTGTGTCCTCTATATGCATGTTCGGTACACTGAGTTCTGTGGCAACTGCCCTCTCTTCAGCAGGGTTTTTCCCCGTGTGATTGTCCATCTCTGTGTTACCAAGTCTCACAGAACTCAGATCTCTGGCTGAGTATGCCTGCAGTTTTGTTTTTCTTTTTCCAGAGACAGATCCTCATCTCCTCTCAGTTTTTCAAGCATCTTGAAAACACAAGAAAACCTGTGGAGAAGCAGACACATGAAGTTCAAGCAGTGGTTCCTAATACTAATACAAATCAAAATACAACATCCATTTCCCCAGGAACACTGCTTTAGTTGCTTTAAGTTTTCATACATTTACTTACTATTCTGAAAACTCATGAAATCAATGTTCTGCAAAAGAACAGGTAAATTTAGGACACAGCAGGACCAGTTAAAGCTTAAAACAGTCATGAAAAATATCTACCACATCACAGTCATTTTCCCTCCACAATTAAGACCAGAGTACAGAAAACACACACACACACACACACACACACACACACA